AGCAGAATTATTTGCTGAAGTCCCGTCCCTCTTCCCCCGCCCCAGCTTTATTTTTTGAGAATTCATTTTTCATTAGAAAGATGATCTCCCATCTCTATTTATTAACATCCTTACCCTGAAAATATCACAGACTCTCATGAAACTGGTAAACAACTATCAGGCATGCATATGAAATTGGTTAACAACCAACCTGGCTTTCTAAGATAGATGGACAGATATATTCTTATATATATAAACGAGAAACATGATTTTTATTACAAAACTGTTTCTCTCTCATGTATGTATGCATGTAATGAGAAGCAATTTTGTAATAAAAATCACGTTTCTGGTTTCTAAAAAAAAGAAAAAGAAATGCTTATATATCCAACTTAATGTCCCTTTAATATTTCAGGAGTAAAGTTTCTGCCTTCTATAACATCTGGCAGCATCAGTATAATAAACTAGTGTTACTTGGTTTCTGTTGAGGTGAAATAAAATATATTAGGACTATAAAATATGGATTTGAGTTTTACTGAATCTACTTCTACCTGTTCACAGAAATGTACCAGGACCACTAAGCCTCTTGCTTTGGGATTCCATGATTCCTTCTGTCCTCACACTTTGTTTTCTGTTAGGGTTTATCCACATTTGAAAATAATCCAGATTAAGGCAAAGTGTGAATTTAAAGCACACTAGCTGTTCCCAAATAATGTGGAATAAAAGTGTCCATACACAAAGTTATTCAGGAATAGCCATTCCTGAATAAATCAGTGTGCAAACAAGCATGGGAAGGTAGGTCCCGTCCTCCCCCCCCCCACTCCATATTTACTAATTTACTGCAATTTTAGACACATGAGGGGATAATTAGAAAAACCTGGGGTGAAGTGCCTCCCTAGGGGGATCTCTCATTCCTTGGTGATGAGGTAGTTTAGTCTTTTTGAAATCTTATACTGGCTTCAACACCTGTGTAATGAGTTTATAGCCCCCCTATCATAAATTGTAATCCTATCTGTTAAAAGAAAATCATGTGCTAAAGAGATATTTCTACTATCTTATAAGAGTATTTTGAGACCAGCTTCAGTATGTGCTAACTCAAGGATTCTTAACCCGTTGGCTTTGAAAATAAATGAGAATGCTGATGTTAAAGACATTTTACTTCATTAATGCTGACATTTTTGGATGAAACGAATAGACACCGGAAGTTAGATTTTTCTGATATTTGATCTGTCATCTTCCACATGGTGGTTAGGCAGTGACATGGGTTTAGCAAGTTAATGGAGTTTTCTTCTTTCTGCCTTCTTTGGTCAGACTCATTGTATAGATGTGCCTTTTTGCTGGTACAATCCTAGGTGCGTCTTGCTTTCTGTGCTTAAGCCAGCAGGAGGTGTGTGGAGCTTATTTTAATTGGGTGAACCAGGAACCATTGGGTGAACCAGGAACCGTCTTGGTCAGCTGGTTTCAGCTAGTAATCATTCTCCACTTCCTACATTAATCCACCTGACAGCTTACCTGTTTACTTGGGTTATGATTAGGAGAGATCATTATGCTTATATTTGGTTGACCCCGTGCAGAGTACAAGCCATAGAATTCCTGGAGGGAATTTATTCGTTCCTACTGTCTAAATTAAGTTCTTCACGTAGTGGACTTTCTTGTAGTAACAAATCTCATATTCTTCAATGTTGTTTTTGAATCTTGTTCAATTTCTTTTGCAGTACAGAAAATATGTATTAATTTTATACATAAATAGCATAGTTGCATTAATCTTTCATGGATTTCACAGCAGAAAAATAAGACTACTACTGTCTGTTGTATAGGAATTGGAATAAATTATAATAGTCAAAGAATTATCATTTAGCTTCTAATTCATCTGCATTCATTGAAGATGCATATTTTGCTAGGAAGAGATGCCTGGGGGAAATGCTAGCAACTTATAGACATATCTGCAATAACTGTAGTGAAGACTGAATGCAAATAGTACTAACATGCCCCCAAAGGAGGGGGGATAAAATTTGCATTAGGAAAAGTGATCTTATTTAAGTAGCTGTCAATTAATGCATTTTAATATGAAAAGTATTTTTCATATTAAAAAGTAAAATATGAAAAGAATTGCTAGGTCTCTACATAAAATTTTGCCTCTGAGATAATTAACATTACATTATGAAATAATATTTTTTGGATTGGAATTAAAGGTCTATGAAGATCTTTGAATCTGGTGACTGAGAATTACAGTGAATTGCTTGAAAGAGATATTCATTGACAGTAGGGGTGTGCGAAGTGGGCCCTATTCGTTTCAGATTCGGCCCGAATTGGGGACAGTGATTTGATTCGTTGATTTGGATAACTGTCCCTGATTCGATATGGCCGAATCCAAATCTGAAAATTTGATGCTGATTTGGACATAAACACAGCTTTAAATGTTTTATCTATGTACTTTGAGGTACCAGCACGGCTTGTGAACACTGCGATGCTGGGGCGCATGGAGCATCCCACAGGAGTGCCAGGGGGGACCTCCACCTGCTCAGCGGTGAACCCGGAAGTGGACCAGAAGTACTTCCAGTCCACTTCTGGGTCTGCCAGGGAGTGTGCTGGGGGGGTCCCCCCGCACCTCCCCCAGCTCAGCAATTGGCCACGGGAGGACCCTGGGTGCTCCCCCACCAGACCCAGGAGGCACGGGGCGGGGGGGGGGGGGGGGGGTGGGCAGCGTGCTGTCTGGCGGAACCGGAAGTGGATCGGAAGTGCTTCTGGTCCACTTCCAGGTCTACTACAGAGTGCACTGGGGAGTCCTCTGTGCTCCTGTGGGACACTCCATGCACCCCAGCATCACAGCACTCACGAGCCCCTGCTACCTAGAGGTATGTAGAAAAAACATTTAAAGCGGTGTCAATGTCCGAATAGCTGAATCTTTCCAAATCTAGCCAAATCGATTCAGAGGGTTCCGATTTAATTCAGAGAAATTAAAGGCTCCTTTGATTTGTTTCAGAGATTCAGCCACTGAATCAGGCCAAATCTCCGCCTTATAAAATCAGGGACTGAAGCATTGCACAGCCCTAATCAACTGTAAATAACTCCCTAGAGCAGCGACTCAAGAAATAAGTAAATAGGAGGATCTTAGGAAAATAACATCTGCATCAGTCCTTTTTATTGTCTTACAATTATTTTCAACTAGGATCTCTGTAATCTATGTGTGTAATTCACTGTAGAAAATTGTAAAGCATTGAGATGCACAAAATTACTTGTGGCAAGACTAAAAAGTCTAACATTAAATGCTCCTCTTGTTGAAAAGAGATGAGGAAAAAAGTTCTGATGTAGACATGAACTTTGAGCTCATTTCTAAATGAGGTCAAAATAATAGACGTAAAATTCTGTAATGATTTCAAGACCCTTCTTGTTTTTATGATTGATTGGTTTTATCTCCGTGTTTGACATGGCTTTTCTTCAACCTTCTGATGACATCAGCTGTTGTACTATGAATAAGGAGACTGTTTTTGCCTTAGTTTGAGATGCACAGCTTTTTATCTTTTTTATATTTCTCATTTTCATTACAATATGTAAAGTTTCAATATTAACAGACTGTAGAACAGATGCAGATCAGTTTTCACTTAGATACATGAATGCTGGATGCCATTGTGCATGTAGCATGCCAGTAATTAAATGTATTGTCAGGATTAGTTTCTCCTTTGAAGAGTTTACATTTTCATTCTGTCTTGTAAATCAACATACGCATTGATTGGTTGCAACTTTTTCCACATTCCACATTTTGTCTCAATTAGTGAGCAAAAATGATTGGGTTCAGGGCATGAACCAGAGTAGTATAGTGAAGGATACTGTTGTCTATAGGACTTCTGCTTTATGTGTGGGAGCATGTTTTGGGAAAGTGACAGGTACTGAAGCAGATGTGTTAAACTGAAATGGTTTTGGCATTAAGGTAAATGAATGCCACCCAGGAGGAAGAAGTTTTATTCCTGTGGATTTGCCATAGACTTCCTGTGCGAGTCTGAACATATTGGGTACTTCAAAGTATTTTATCCTCTTTGGACTAGCCACTGGAGGAGGATAATACAATTGAAACAGTGGTTAAACATGCCTGAGTTTCCTCATCTTGCAGACAGATACCTAGGTTTGGGCAACAGCTTCTGGAAGGTCATGTGATTTCACTTGGGTAAGCTATATTAGAATCTAAGTTGTATTCTTAGTTCATATTTAACTTCTCAGGGTCAACTGAAGGAGGAGAAGATGGAGTATTCTTTTGCTTGTGTCCTGTCCAAAGGATCAGTTGTGTAGGATGTGCTGAAGCAAGGTACAGGGACGTGACATTTCCAGTCCTAATACATGTTGAGGTGTCACCTTCTAGTAAGCACCACTAAGCAGACCAGACTGGGAAAGATCTTTTTCACCGTGCTGCAGGCTAAGAAGACATCAGAGGTCCTACAAACAAGTTGGAAGTCTTTTTAGAATGAAAAGTGTGAATCAGTCTAAATAGTGGGATCACTCCTCTTTACTTGTAATGACTGTATGTGTTTTAACACTTGATGTCATCACAGCACTGAGCAAACTGAACTAATTATTTTTTACAATCTCTTTGAAGAATAGAGACATTATCCCCTTTTACATATGGGAAAACAAATATTTTGGCTAGTGGGACACAGTGCATCATTTGACTGACACTTATGTTAGAGATCATGAGTTGTGATTCCCAGTACTTTGTATGCTGCACAGACTCCTTACATAGGAATGTCCTCTATTGTCCAAATCTCATATAATTGGCTAAGTAGACGGTATGCTGTATGTATAACTGGTCATATGCATAAACAGTATATAACTTGGATTATGGATAAGTTAGAAATTACTAGACAGCAGTCTAGCATTTATATACTGTTCTGTTAAGCAAGTTTAAAATAAACTATTGTTCAAAGAAATGAGTTGTGACCACTATTAAAATTTGGGTTTTTCAGATGTGGAATTGGGTCAGTTTGACTACCAGGTTGCTACTAGTGAAACTTTTATTGTTTTTACTTTTCCAGTTGGCCTTGCTGAATTTCTTCCCCTCTGAAGAAAAGCTGCATCTTGGAGAAGAAAGTAGACGTGCCCGTCGAAATAAAAGGAGTAAAGGTAGTGAAGGGCCAGATGGTGAGTTTCCTTATCAATTTCATACTTGTCCCATTCCTCATTTCTTCAAAGGAGGTGAGAAACTTGCAGTTTTTCAGGTAATGTTTGTATCCTGGATTGCCTTCGTTGACAAGGGTGCACCTGTCCCTTAATGTAGTTCCTCCTTGAACTCACTTAACATCCAGATCATTAGTTCCATCCATTCTTATTTTCATATCATGCTAATGAGATAAATGATGTTAAAATTGATTTCCAAATCCATCAAGATTTATTTGAACTCACACTTCTATTTTTTATCATAACCTGTGATTCAAAGGGCCATAATTTCTCTAACAAAGAGACTTTGCACTTGCTTTTGCTTATGGTTTAATCATAGCTGCCTCTACTTCTCTTGTGGTACTGCTAGCTGTATTCTTAAAATATTCAGTCAGTAAATTCTAGCCCTAGACAGTTTCAGAAAATTCTGTCCTACACTATGGAAGTGTGTTGTAACTGACTTCCTAAAAATGACAGTGAACAGTGGGTCCATGATCTACATCAGTAATGCTCATCCTCCAGCCTATGGGTCAGATATGTCCCATGGAGCCATGTCATTTAGCCCAAAGGGCTACCCACAGGCCTGGAAATCTGGCAGTGGGGGAGTGGTGGCAGCATTATTTTCCATGGCTTTCAGATGCAGGGGGCTGGATCCAGCCCACAGACTGATCCCACCCATGGGACTTGACCCATTAATTGGCTCTATGCCACTCATCCAGCCCATGGGTCTGGAAGGTTGACTTACTCCCCAACCCCAAGCCCTGTCAGGTGTCAAACATATGTCTTTTGTCCCTGCTTAGACAGATTAAACATGAATATTTGGGTTTCGAGCCATGCGGGTGGAGAGTCCTACGTTTCTGTCCTATCTTTTGGAGGACCTATTTGAACTACGGTATAAGCAGGTTAAACATAATACAGCTCCATCATTTTCTCTGACACTGGTTATGTCTATGCAGCACGCTTACTGTCACCAGTGACAGCACTCTCAGACATACTCTTCTTCTGCTTTGGGAAAACTGGAAACAGTGTCTCACTACCTTTTGTGAAGTGCTTTTGACTGACTGATTATCACTGCTGAGTAAAAGTGTCAACTTGTCTGGCTGAACAGACATGGCTACACTACTTCCAATTCAAGATAGCAGTCTGCCTGGAACAATGCAGCCTGCTTGAATGAAACCACCACAACTGGGTATAATACTCTCTATATAGCCATGGTTCAGATTATACAATTTGTCAACTCCATGTAGCATCCTTTTCCTCCTGTCTACACCCCCCACGTTGGACAAAAATGTTATATCACTGTATTCTTGAAAGATCTGGGCAGATAGTTCACACTCCCTCACCTGTGGGTGTGGGATTATAGGCTTCTTTCACAAGGTATAAAAATACTTCAGGACAGGTTCCTGCACAAAGATCTGAGGTTTGTAGGACTCAGTAGCTCAGTTACACACAGAAGAAACTTTCTTTACACTGCTCCCCAGCCCTGAGATGGTGTCCCACTTCCTGTTCAGCAGCTAATTTCATTCTCCTCCAATACCCACCTCCCAAAACCCACTACTTGCTTTCTACAGTTGTCTTATACCTTCTCCTTCATCAGTCCATTAAAAATATCCCAAACTATATAATTTATTCATTATGCAGTGTTTTATATTATTCGTTATATCATTTGTGTCTCCTTTTCCATCTAATTTGTCTATTGTCATGTTCTGAGTAGGTCTAATTTAGATAGTGAAATCTTCAGAATATGGAACCTTGGCTGCCTGTACACATGCTCCTTATTGTTCTAATTAGAACGCTGCAGCATCACATGTATTAAGCCCCTGCACGTTTTAAGATGGCTGTGGGGGCCCTTTATCTAAGCCTTATTGAACAAGCTTTAGATAAATGGCCCCCACGGCCATGTTTAAATGTGTAGGGGCTTAATACACGTGATGCTGTGGCGTTTTAATTAGAGCAGTTGTCCAGGAACCAAACTAATTAAAACACTACCCCACCTCCCCCACCCCGGAGCACATACATAGACACCCCATGTCTTGTAACTCTGAAGCTCTATAAAACCTTAGTGCCACCAATACAGTTATTAGAAGTAATAACCAAGGTAGAGGCTGGTAGTTATTTCCTTGCCCCAAAAATCCCCAGAACTGAGAGATTGCCAAAATATACTGTTAGCTGTGATCCCAAACTTGTCTCCCTTGTTCATCAAACCAAACTGTGCTGTACCAGAGGACCTTAACTGTCCATAAATAAGTAATTTTGCATCAATGGACATCATGAAGTTAATGAAATAGTCTCTCTTTTTTCCATGACCAACTACATGAAGTGAGGGAAGACTGTGGCTAATCCTAATCTTGTTTCAAATTTTTGCCCAGAATGTATTCTAGTGTTTTACATGTATTCTAGTGTTTATGTGAATGTATTCTAGTGTTTTACATGTACATGTTGCTGTACATGACCCTGATTCAAGAGAGTACTTTAGCATGTGCCTAACTTCTGTTTGAATAGGGAAGCTGTCCTGTGTATGGTATTGCATATTGCTATTCTGCAGCATTATATATTAAAACATTTAAAATTTGTCTAGTTGGCTTGGAGAAAGAAATAATAAGAATCTCTGTTGGAACTGTTTAAAAAAAAATGGGAAATTATGTACATATGTTTTAAATTTTTCCAGGAATTTAAACATTCTGCAGCAATGTCCTAATTACAATTAATAAGATGTTTTAAAGTATACTGCTTTTCCTACTTGGTATTAGAGTCCAGTATTCAATATGCAAAAGTCAATAAGTGGAGCAGGGGGGGGTTGAAGGATTGCCTTTACAAGGTGGGGGAAGGATTCAGGAAGTAATAGCACTGGTTCTTAGATTCAAGAACAGTCTAATTCTGTGTCTCTAAATATATTCTATTGGGAATACAATAGGCAAGTGTATTGTGGGAGTCATTTCTGAGGTCACACAGTTGAGGCAGATTTTCACAAACCATTTAATTAATAAAATAAAATATGGGATTGTTGTGGATTGTTGCTCAATTTCTATTCAGTCTCCCAAGTACCTTTTGAAGCCAGTTTCAATCGTTACTTCTTTATAAGGACTAGCTCTGTGGTTCCTTTGATTATGAAACTAAGCCTTTGCATTATAGTACCTCCGTTTGTCTTCATGGCCCCACCAACAAATTAGCTTGACACCTCATGGGGCCTTAATTTCACAGGGCAGTAAAGTAATCAAAAGTATCTGTTTTGAATGAAACAGCTGTTACTCATTGGAGTATAAAGCTCTTAGGTTAGCTTGGCCAAGCTAAACTTAGGATCAAACCACATCAACAAGAGTATCTCGTCAAAACGTCATCTTCTCAGAAATCCAACTGAACTCTGTCCTTTAGGGTCTCATGCAAGTGTTCTGAACTACAAGAAACCTGTTCTAAAACAAATAAAATTCTCCTCATATCCAGTCTTTTCCTTTTAGGCCCTTTGACTCCTGTGTATTAAAGTTACAATACAGTTGTTGGGGCTTCCATTGTCTATGCCAGTGTTCCTTTGATAGGTGTACAGCATCATCAACATTTGGTAGACCAGTTCATAGTTTCATAGTTCGTAGGGTTGGAAGGGACCTGAGCAGATCATCCAGTCCAGCCCCCTGCCATGGGCAGGAAAGAATGCTGGGGTCATATGACCCCAGCTAGGTGATCATCTAGCCTTCTTTTGAAGACCCCCAGGGTAGGAGCGAGCACCACTTCGCTTGGAAGTTGGTTCCAGATTCTAGCCACCCTGACATTGAAGTAGTGCTTCCTGATGTCTAGCCTGAACCTACTCTCAATCAACTTGTGGCCATTATTCCTAGTTACTCTGGGTAGTGCTCGGGGAAACAGGGACTCTCCCATTCCCTGCTGGTCCCCCCTGGTAATTTTATAGATGGCCACCAAATCCCGTCTCAGCCTTCTCTTGTGGAGGCTAAACAGGTTCAGGTCACGTAGCCTCTCTTCGTAGGGCCTGCCCTGCTGCCCCCTGACCATGCAAATAGCCCTCTTCTGGACCCTCTCAGTGTTGTCCATATCCCTCCTGAACTGCGGTGCCCAGAACTGGATGCAGTACTCCAACTGCGGCTTGATCAACGTTGCATAGGTGGGGAGGATCACCTCCTTGGACCTGCTCATGATGCATCTGTGGATGCGTGACAAGGTGCAGCTAGCCTTACTGACTGCGTCCTTACATTGGCGGCCCATGTTCATCTTGGAATCAATAATGACTCCAAGATCCTTTTCTGCCTCTGTGCTGATGAGAAGGGAGTTCCCCAGCCTGTAGGTATGCTGGTGGTTCTTTTTCCCCAGGTGCAGCACCTTGCACTTCTCAGTATTGAATCCCATTGTGCCCGGTTCTCCTCACGTCCCCTTATACTCAACCCCTCCAGACGTGGGAAACACAAAATATGTTACAACAAATCTTCAAAAGCAGAGTGTTCCTTCCACACCCCAAAGTACCCCTTGGTACTCGCATCCGGCCCCTAAGGCCCAATCATACACTACCAGCACCCCCTGACCTTTAGGGGCTTATCTTAGGTTCCCCACGTAGTTGTGAGACCCTAGGGTTTTCCCCGGGCTTTCTCCCCATCATCTCTCTGGCTCCTGATATTACTGCTCTCTCCTCAGGAGCTCCTCAATGAAGCTGTCCCTTCTCTGGGGCTTCTCGCCAATGTTGCTCTCCGTGGGGCATATCTTCAGGCCCCCGGAGTCCCTTCACCGTCCCACCTGGTCAGAGGCTGGATGGTGGGTCAGTGCCTCCCCCTTCTCCACGGTGACCGCGTGGCTTGGGGTCTCTCCAGTCTCTGCCTTCCTGCCCTTCTCTTCTTCGCACTGGAGCTCCTGCTCCTAGTATGGTTTTGACTTCTCTGCCATCAGCAGCTCCTGCCTCGCCGCGTGAGGCGTCTGATCCTCTCCCGCTGGGGAACTCCGCTTCCGGCCCCACTTGCTCCGCTTGGAGCCTCCTGGAGACCCCTCCG